TTATGTCAAATAACTGGTCCAGTTGCTTGGCAAAGCTGTCCTTAACTGCAAGTTTTCCTCTCCCAAGAGAGATATCTCTTGCCTTTTCCCAACTGGCTAGCAGTCTCTCACTAATCTTCTTCTGACTTGTTATGACTGGAGGCTTGAACTGAGCGTTAGCCAGAGTGTACTGTGCCAAGACAGCTTTGGTCATATCACTGGCAATGTCTTTGTTTGTGTAAGTTCTTTGGTTTTTTTCACTGATTTGCCTGATTAAAACACCGTATCTCAAAGCATCTCTCAATGTAGGCAACTCTGACTTCAGGAGCTCTCTCCCAGACCCAAGATAGTGACTGAGATGGCTGGATTTTTGGTTCCTCGTCCTGACACAAGCAGCCATCGCAAATATTATCAACTTATAAATGCATCAGAATCTGAAACAGAAAAAAATATTGTTAGTTGGGTTGTTAAAGAATGAAGTCAGAAAGCAATGTTCACTATTTAATTGTAATGCACTAATGCAGCTGTACGTTAGATTTTCGATAAATTTCACGCTAAAATTTACCTAGCAAAAGGTTGCAAAATATTGAAACCGAAATTATTTTCTGTTTATATACACTAAAATCTACTAAAAAAGTGATGGGCCATTAGTTTTAGCCTATCTTCCCTCCTATGACACACCCTATTACTACAAACCTACTTACCAGGGTTCTGGATTCGAGCTGCGGCAGTGTCTCTTCTCGCATCGGTCGTGATGCTGGTGGTCTGTCCTACAATCCTATAACAATCAAGCATGCACCTATTTATACACCTACTACCCACTTCCATCTATTTGTTGTCCTTCCGCTGAACCTTTTTTACCCCTGTCACTTGGGATTTTTGTATGTATGTATGTACTGTACTCATCGTGAAACTCATCTCACCACCTCCAGTATTCACACATTAAATGGTTTACTCACCGTGCTACAGGGCTTTATTTATTGTGAAGTATCTTGCTATTTTGTCTCTTTCCTACAGTATATCAGGTGACGTAACCACATACTTGGTATTATCTTACCTCTCACATTCTTATGTGTCAAGTGGTAAATACTCTTCCTTGTGGGCTTGTGAGTTTTCGTGTGGTGACTCCCAGGTTTTCATATTTATGTTGTGTGTATAACCTCTACTCTGAAATGGTTTACTGCCATATGTCATTATGATTCACGTTAACTATTTATGTAATCGTCGTTTCTGAATTTACTCTGTATTTGTTGTCTTAGACTTAAGTGTAAATAGTTATAAGTTATTTATAATGGCAGTTGTTTTCATACTTATTAGTTTACTTCACAACATTGACCCTTGTCGAAAGGAATAATATCTTACACACTATTTTTATATGTTATATAGAGAAATAGAGCTGATGTATACACTAAACACACTAAACAGGTCACAATCTTGGGTTTATGGCACATTAGCAGTCTCCCTGCAGCCTGAACTGGATGTCACCAGTCCCAGTCCAGTAATGCGTAGTGTCGGAGTGCTGTGCGGATATCTTTTGTATATAATGTTTATGTTGTTTTTGTGCTTTTATTATTGCATATGAGCAATTGCTTTGAGTTCAAGATATCGAAGTTTGTCTGGTTCATTTTTCATAGTTTTCAACTTTTGTAGCAGAAGAATTTCACAATTCTTTTGTGCTAATCCTGTTGACTGAACTTTATTCAGTGGTCTGAAGAGTTACAGAGCTGTTCATCGCTTGTCTGTACGAATTACTAAAGTTCAGAACTTAGAAAAATCAAGAAACAAGTACAGTATATAAATTGGCCAATCGCCTTGCTGCAAAGTTTTTGTAACATGTGAAAATGAACCAGACAAACCTCGATTTCTTATAAAAAATTATTACTCTTATGCCATAATATAACCACTGCATGATATGCAAAAACAAAACAAAGACAAAAAATATATCTATAAAAATATAATATCATAAAAATTCTAAAAAAAATAAAAATACTGCAAAAATGTGGCTACTTCCAAAAAACAACGTGCCATTCTCATGTTTTACAATTACCAACCTAACCTAAGCTAATTATTTAAAAAAATGAACTAGGGTCCCAGTAATGATTTAAAAAAAAGTCCGCATGTTAGTGAGCAACATCAGGAAACTTTTCAATAAAAGAGAACTTCTTCTTTTCTCAAGAACATTGCAAAAATGGTGGAGGAATAAACCTATACCAAACCTTAACACCCCCTAAAAAAAACGAAAGAACCTATTGAATCAAAACTAACAGCTCTAGCTTAACATTTGAATTTACATCACAGAGAGTGGCTTGGCTCCGCAAGGGATGACCCAGGTGGAGCTGAGGCACACTCTTTTTCCTTACTTAATGATCTGGAACAAATAATTAAACACCCTACACGCATTCCTGATCGACACTGTCAACTTACTAATACTCTTGATCTTTGTTTTACCTCTAACCCCCCACACTATTCATACTACTTTCTGCCCCTTTAGGATCCTCTGATCACAATCTTATTTCTATTAAATCAAACTGGTCACGACCACCTCCCCCATCCCCTCTAAACGCCAACTATGGCACTATCGGAGTGAAAACTGGCAATCCTTGCGAGAATTCTTCTCCAACTTTCCTTGGGATAAATGTTGCTTTTCAACTCGGGACGCCTCGGTGTGTGCTGCCAGCATTATTGGGGTTATACAGGGTGGTATGAGTGCATTTATCCCATCTTCAACCATACTTTCACTTTACAGTCATGGTTTAACCGCTCCTGTTCTCTTGCATGTAGGGAGAGAGATAGGGCATATCAAATTATGAAACTATCTCCTCCTATTACCCTCTCCTGTTTCATTACTTCTAGGACCAAGCGGAATGTTATAAAAAAGAAAGACCGCTGTCCTGACTAATTCTTCTTCCAGTAAACCCTTCTGGTACTTAACCAAAAAATCTGCATTAACTTCTGCACTCCCTCATTTCCCCCCTCTCTTCCGACGTGATAACTCTATAGCCAACTCTCCCCCTGGTAAAGCCAATCTCTTTGGCACCTTATTCTCCTCTAACTCCACCTTAGACGATTCCAAATCGATCCCTCCTACTCTTGCTCCTCCTACTGAACCTATGCACTTTCCTATAATCTTCATTCGTAGGGTTGCTGGTGTGTTATCCAGGTTGGATGTGAGTAAAGAAAGCTCATGGACCGGACGGAATACACCCCTATGTTATGAGTGAGTGTGCTGAAGTTCTGGCCCTTGTGCTTGATTGCCTGTTTCGCCTTTGCCTCAAAACCCAAGCTTATCTTTCTTCTTGGAAGCATGCCTCGGTTCAGCCCATCCCGAAGAAGGGTGACCATTTGAATCCCTCAAACTATCGCCCCATTGTCCTAACTTCATCCCTCTCCAAGATTTTCGAAACTATCTTGAACTTTCATTTTCCCCGTCACCTTGAACGTCATTCTCTTATGTCGGATCACCAGTATGGCTTTCGCCAGGAGAGATCTACTGGTGATCTGCTCTCCTATTGCACCCATCTTTGGTCATCCTCTCTTAGGGATTATGGGGAAACTTTGTCGTGGCTCTCGACATCTCCAAAGCATTTGACAGGGTATTTGAAAAGTCTTTGTTTTCTAAACTTCTCTCTTATGGTCTCTCTCCCCTATTTTGTTCTCGAATTTCTAGCTTCCTTGAGAACCGATCCATGGCACTTGTTGTCGAGGAATCGATCTCTCGCTCTTTCTCTACCAATAGTGATGTCCCACAGGGTTCTGTTCTTTCAAATATTCTCTTCCTTCTTTTTATCGATGATTTACTTCACTCTACGACTAATTCTATCCAGTCTTACGCTAATGAGTCTACTCTTCACTCTTCTTCTCATTTTCTCCTTCCCCTAATTCTCAAACTAGATCTGTTTCTAGAGCTGATATCATTACACCTATCAATGCAGATCTGTGCAGCATCTCCGAATGGGGAGGTAGTAACTTGGTTAAATTCAGTGGAAATAAAACACAGTATTTACCAATTACACTTTCCAAATTAGATGATTTCCCACCAATCATATTTCAGGATGCAATCATTCTGCCAAATTCTAAAATAGACGTGCGAGGCCTCACCATTTCCTCTAATATGTCATGGAAACCACACATCCTCAATATTGCTAAAGCTGCCTCCCGAAAGCTGGGAATGCTGTACAGATACCGTAGCTACTTCACTTCTGAGCAGTTGCTTCATGTATATAAGGGATTCATTCGTCCTAACTTGGAGTACTGCTCTCATATCTCGGGTGGCTCTTCTTCTGTCCAACTGTTATATACAGTGGAATCAAAGGCATTTCGTCTTATTGACTCTCCTCCTTAAGTTGATAATCTTTTTTTTCCCTTTCTCTTCATCGCAATGTCGCTTCACTCTTTCTAATTTACAGGTACTTTAATAGATAATATTCGGTGGGTTTGGTATCCTGTATACCGCCAGCAAGGCCGTGGGCTCGTAACACTCGTCTTGACCGCGGTGCCCACCGTTTCTTTGTGGATGTCGGTCATACTAGAATACAGTAACCCGTAAAAGTACATCCTTCTTTCCTCACACAGCCAAACTGTGGAATGCTCTGCCTTCTTCTGTGTTTCCATGCTCATACAATCTGTCTTACTTCAAAAAGATGGATTTCCGGTATCTTCGTGGTGTAGATTAATATAATCTTTTTCTTTTCAATTTTTAATTTATTTTTACTCTTAATTCCCCCCAGGCCCCGTTGTGGGTCGATGACCTGTGCCCCGGTGGGCTATACCCCGTAAAAGAAAAAGAAAAAAAAATCCCAACTTTGTATCCTCCAGCACCCAAGCTCCACGCATAGCAGGGAGAGTGCTAATATAACACGATTTACTTATGTTTAAACAAAAGTGCACGCTAGCTGAATTTATGTGAGGTTGAGTTGATCAGTGGCTGAGTTGACCAGGGGTCGAATTGAATGGGGTTGAGTTGACATTTGTTGAGTTGACTGGGTTTGTGTAATGGTGGCTTGGGGATTTTCTATACACAATGCTATATACATATTTATTTGTTAACTTAACTTAATAAACACTGCTGATTAATGCTCACAAGACAATACTATGTCGTTACTAAAGCACAGATTATTTTATGGTTATGACCGAATATTTACCCCTAAACATAAACATGGTATAGATACACTTCCCACTACAGTAGTTCCCTGTATGATCGCCACTCTGATAATGACTCACATATACCCTGTGGGAAACTCAACATGGTGGGGCCTTAGGACCTGCCGAGCCTTGCTCACAGCTGGGGGAGACAGGTCTTCCCCCTTTCGGGTCGAGATTCGTGCCTGAGTGTTACTGGATGGAGTTTGCATGGAGTCTGAGATAAGTATGAGGCCGGCTTCTTGTTGTTAGCAGGATTTATGTAGGTTTTCAGGATTACCATGAAGACGAGGACTCATTATCTTTTCCTGTTCCTTACTGGGTCAAATCCTTCCCTCGTGTCACTGTAGGGTGTGTCCCGGCGCATCCCAGCGCACCCCCTACTTATTACTTGCTGGAGGGCAGTGTTTATTAGATTTACTGGGTCACTGAGCCAGTTCTTCATAAACAAGAGGGAAAGAGCTCATTATCCCTTCCTATCCTTTTATGGGTCATGTCCTTCTCTTATTTCGTTTTGGGTATGTCGACTTTATTGTAGGTGTATGCCTGCTCTGCTAGTTACATGTGTTGTTGTTTCTCTGGACTGGACAGCTTTGTCTGATAGACAGTCATTATAGTTGAGTTGATAGGTGTTAAGTTGACAGGAGATAAGATGACAGGGGTTGAGTTGACAGGGGTTGAATTGACCACGGTTGAGTTAATCAGGGATGAGTTAAGAGTGGTTGAGTTGATAGGGGTTAGTTGACAGTGGTTTAGTTGGGTGGGAGTTGAGTTGACTACTGTTTGGTTAACCAGGGGTTGAACTCATGGGGAATCATTACTCATTCTTACATTTATTTGGTAGAATACCGTATTGTCACTGTACAAGGAGACAAGTTCAACAAAATTATCGTGTTCAGGCATCGAAAACACCACTATCATTAGCATTTGTGAACAGTTCATAAACTCGAGAGGTCATGAGCTCATTAGTATCAGATAACATCTCCTGAAAAAATTTGCCAAAGGCCATGCTTAAGCCACGTCTTGTGAAAAACTGAAAAGAAGGCTGCATAAATATAGGCATTATTACCCTGGCTATCCCAGTTTTTATCTTAGCCGCAACTCCGGAAGATAGAGTTGAAGTATCCTGGTAGGTTTTACCTATCTCACTTTGCGTTATCATGGTTACCATCATACCAAGGAGTGTACCACTTAACAGCGTCCTCCGCCACTCATTCTTGAAGTCTTCATAGCTCCAGTTGACCACAGAGACGTCCATCTTGGCGGTGACGACATTGAAAGTGGAGTAATAGTGCTGCAAAATCTCCTCTAGATGGTCCTGACGAAGGGTGAAAGTGGTGGAGCTGTGCACTACGTACTGCAGGTCATACACTGGGTTGTGCCACTGAACATTCCCCCAGTCGATAAACTGGAAACCCTCTATGGCTGCCTCTCCCCCACACTCAGATTCTTTATGCTTGAACATCATGTTGTTAGTCCAGAAATCACCGTGAACGAGGCACACGATATCTTGAGCGTCGTATTTCCTGTATGAAGAGATATACGAATTTATGAGAGATGTCTTATTCATTTTCATTTTCTTAAACAATTCTTCGTTTTGTTTTTGTTCCACCAGTTTCATTCCACCATCATAGATGACACTTATAAATGATGCAAGAGGTGCATAAAAATTCTTATCGAGAACGAACGATGGGTATTTCTCCATAAAGTTATGAGTCTTGCCATAGGCATAAGAGACAGCATGTAGTGTGGCTAGGCGGTGAACAGCATAAAGGAGATGATGTAGATCGAGACCCTGGCGCTTGTCCTCATTCACATAGCCAGCTGGGCTGAGATCCTCCATTACTAACACATACTCATCTTTGGTACATTTGCCATATATGAACTTAGGAATATGTATTCGATACTTATCCTCGGCGATCTTTGACTGAAAATCATTTATTTCAGGAATTACATCAGAGTATATCAGAAGTTCCCGCAGGTGAGCCTTGCCGTGCTTGTAGCTTTCCTGCCTGAACTCATTACCAAGCAGAAACTTGGCCACTAGACTGTAGTGTGTCGTGACTCTGCTGCCGCTAAGCACTTGCGCCTCAACTCTGATCTTTGCCAACTCCGAGCTGAAGTTCTCACCAGGCTCTGCACCTGATAAATTAGAAGAAAAATAGTTAACTGCTGCCAAATACACATAATTATAAAGAACCACAAATTTAAACAGTGGTAAAGAACATGGGCAAGAAGGAAGCAGCAGGGCGTGAATGAATGCAGAAGCTAACATCCAATGAGGTTTGTAGAGGGACGATCTGCTGCTGGCTGATGTGAGGCGCCGGGTAAACTAATTGAATATTTGGGTTTTGTTGTGAAAACTAAGAAACAGAAATGAACGCATCTATTACAGATTGTTACATAAGCTTATGTATTTTCGTGGTGTTAAGACTTGTATTATGTATTCATTTAGTATCAGTCGACGTTGTGAGAGCAGTTATATGTGTTATGTAAGTCTTCCCATTTTCTGTGAAGTGAATACAAATAAGGCTACCCTTGATATAAGAACATAAGAACATAGGAATGGAGGAAACTGCAGCGGGCCTATTGACCCATACTGGGCAGTCCCGTTTATACCCAACCCATATTGTTCATATAAGCATCCAACCTATGTTTGAAGCTATCCAGCGTATTCGAGTTAATGATGATATTTGGTAACTTGTTCCATTCATTCACTACTCTGTTTCCAAACCAGTGTTTACCTATTTCACGTCGAAATCTAAATTTGTCTAATTCAAAACCATTGTTACGAGTTCGCTCCTGGTTGGATAGTTTGAGTACCTTTGTAATGTCCCCTTTGTTTAACCCTGACTTCCATTTATACACCTCTATCATGTCGCCCCTCACTCTACGTCTCTCGAGTGAGTGCAAATTAAGATGCTTTAACGTGTCTCTGTACTCAAGGTTCCTGATGCCCGGGATTAGTCTTGTCATTCTCTTCTGGATTCTTTCCAAGGATTCTATATCCATTCTGTAATACGGTAACCAGAACTGAACTGCGTAATCTAGGTGAGGTCTCACAAGCGCTAGATATAATTTTAAGATGACCTCACTAGTCTTGTAACTAACACTCCTTTGTATGAACCCAAGTACTTTATTAGCCTTGTTACGAGCAAAAACACATTATTTACTTGGCTTAAGATTCCTACTTATCATCACTCCTAAATCTCTCTCGCAGTCGGATTCCACGATGGCATCGTTGTTCATCTGGTAACTGGTTTTCCTGTTTACATCTCCTATACTGAGTACTTTACATTTGTCCACATTGAATTTCATCTGCCATTTTTCCGACCATTCGAAAAATTTGTTTAGATTTTCCTGTAGTTTTGTAGAGTCCTCGTCAGATTTAATTACACATCCTATTTTAGTGTCATCAGCAAATTTACTTATGTTGCTGTCTATGCTGATTTCTATGTCGTTTATGTATATAATAAATAATAATGGTCCAAGTACTGAGCCTTGGGGAACTCCACTAGTGACGTTGCTCCAATGCGATTTAGTGCCGTTTATGCTCACTCGCTGTTTCCTGTCCCGCAGCCACGCCCTAATCCATTTAAGGATATTACCTTTGATGCCATGCGCTTCTACCTTTCTAATTAGTCTTTCGTGGGGGACTCTGTCGAAGGTTTGCTAAAATCGAGATATACCACAACATAATTGTGCCCCTCGTCCACCGATTCGAAAACTGATGAAAAGAATGTTAATATATTTGATAGACATGAACGCCCTCTTGTGAAGCTATGTTGGGAATCATTGATCAACTTGTGCTTCTCCAGGTGGTTTCGAATAGAGTTTGAAATGATTGATTCTAGTAATTTGCCTACTATAGATGTTAGACTGATTGGGCGGTAGTTAGAGGATAGTGATCTATCCCTCTTCTTGAAACTCGGTATTACATTCGCTATCCTCCAGGATTCTGGTACTACACCTGTTTTTAATAACATGTTAAACAACTTTGCTAAGGGCATACTAAGCTCTTCCTTACATTCTTTTAATACTCTGGCAAATATCTCATCGGGACAAAGTGACTTATTAGGCTTCAGTTTGTCTATTTGCTTATTAACTTCGTTACTAGTCACTACTATCTCGCTTAAATTGTTTTCTTCACTATCTCTGAATAGAGTCGGTGCCTCGGGTATCATGTTTAAATTTTCGGTGGTGAAAACTGTTGAAAAATATTTATTCAGATTATTGCTCATTTCTCCGTCGTTATCAGTTAGCTCGCCGGTATCTGAACGTATTGGTCCAATCTTATCTCGTGTTTTAGTTTGATACATTTGGTAGAATCCTTTGGGGTCTGTCTTCGACTCCCTTTCTACCTTTAGTTCATTATTTCTCTTTGCTTTTCTTATCTCGGTCTTAACCCTTCTGGCCAATAATATAATATGTTTGTTTTTGTATTATACTGTATGTGAATTACAGTGTTTCCATTTAACCTTTAACATATCTTTAATCATGTAATATAATGTTTTTATTTATAGAAGTTCTGGATTATTAATAATTAAATTTCAAAGATGCTTTTGTTTTGGTAGGTGGCTGTCTCACAACTTAGATATGTGAAATCATGGAGGTCAAAATTTATTTTGTTCCATCCATTGTTCCTGCTATTTTTTTATATTATTTTACCCACTATCCCCTTATGGATAAAATAATTAGGAATTGTGAGTGAATAATAGGTAATATTTTTATGAAATGGGGAAGAGCAGCATTACTGGATTCAGGTGGATAAGTTCAAATTATTCCATGTGGGTCAGAGGACCAGGCTGTACCATTGTTTATTTTATTTTTTACTTAATTTAATTATTATTGATTATTGAATCTACCATCTTTGATATCCTGCTCAGTTGTAGAACTACTGAATGGTTTCCATAGATGCAGTTTACACAGTGAAATTCTATTAATTGTCATCCTCGACTGTTATGTTTTCCTCAGAGGAAGGCATAACACCAAACATTAGAAAATAAAAACTGCAACATTCCGTGTTTTCTTACTATCAAACACACACACACAGATATATATATATATATATATATATATATATATATATATATATATATATATATATATATATATATATATATATATATATAGGGTTCGAATCCTGGCTGGTGAGGTCGTTGATTATATATATATATATATATATATATATATATATATATATATATATATATGATATATATATATATATATATATATATATAATCAACGACCTCACCAGCCAGTATTCGAACCCTAGACCTACTGGGTGGGACTAGGGAATGCTACCGACCAAACCCACAAGGACACTAAAAGCAGTCCTAGGCTCTGTTACATTTCACTCAAAGCCTGTTCATCGAGCTGATGGCGCCGTGAACCTCATTGGGAACTTTTTGTGCAAGAGATAGGAAACGTAGGACTAGGGTGTGTTTTCCTGGGTCTAGGATATGGCATGTAGCTGATAGGGTACCAAGCCAGTAGTGTATCTTAGTGTAGGAGGTAACGACATGGGAAAGGTTAGGAGTGAGGAATTTTTCAACAGGTATAGGGATGCGCAAAGGAAGGTTGGACGTAAATGGCTGTCCAGGGCAATTGCTATAAATTGCCAACTGGAAAAACATTGTGCAAGCAATGGTTGGGCGTTCATTGATAATTATCAGCATATACCTGGATCACACGCACCCACAGTGATTTATATATATATATATATATATATATATATATATATATATATATATATATATATATATATATATATATATATATATATATGTAACCGGTCGGAATTTACTGGACTTTATTTTCTCACTTGACTTGGGGTTTATTAAAGATTATTAGATGGTAATGGCAGTGGAAGCGCCCCTTAGTGAGAAATCCCGAACCAGCACAAGAGCACTTAAATTTACTAACAAAATGAATTGTCCGTGACCCGTGGAAGGATAGCGTCTGTGACTGGGATGAATGAGACACACTGTAAAATTTAGACACTTATATTCCCTCCAACACTACACACACAATCAAATAATGGTACACCAATATGCGCACCTCTTAACTTGAACTTAAAACACTACTCTGGGGAATAAAAGTTATTACATGATACTGAAATTATTAGAAACTCAGGCAACAATAAATTTAAAGTATTAAGAAATGTTACTTGCACACATGAAACAGGCCTTAAGGGCTTTCAACAAAATAATATCCAGCACTGAGAAAATGGTATTAAAAAAATAAGAAATTAATAACTCTACAATGAATAGGCCTTAAGGGCACTCAACAAAATTATATCACCCCAACAGATGCACACTTCCTAACCTAACTTAACCACTACTCTGGGGAACAAAGGTTATACCTGAGATCGGAATTATAAAGAAAAATTAGATGCATTAAAGGAATAAAATCACAGTATCACTCTGGTTCCACTTAGTGACACAAACATTAAAAAAACAATACTATCAAAATCATTTAGGAACTATTACTACACACGTCAAGATAATATCAGGAACTGAAAAATGGTACTACTACACACAAAAATATTCTCACTATTATTGCGATGTTACTGGGTCCACCAATACCCGTGAACCATGCTCCACCCAACTCAACATACACCCGTAATAAGGGAGATAAAATGTTCCTCTAGGTATCCCCTAGACTCATGGTCTCAGTGTGTGACCATTAATTTACTCAGATAGCCTCAGTGTACTCCCAGTGCGTTCATGGGCAGGAAGAGAGAACGCCAGCAGGTATCTATGGCCAGTAGGTAACACTTCTAGCTGACCGAGGACACGTGGTGTTGTGCACCCACGTGGTAAGAACTGATCACCCACTGCTGATGCTGGTCCCGTGTCGTTTTAGTTGTCGGGAGCACTCGTTCACTCAAGAGATCCTTTGCTACCCCGCTAACCAGTGACAAGCCTACACTGATCGTTCCGAAGGCGACAATCGCCAAGCCTCAATCATCAACGGCAGTCTCAAACGGCAGTCAGTCTCTCCCAGCCAACTTCATTTCTCAGTCAAACTCGCGGTCAAGTGGGTTCTGACGGAAACCCTGAAATGAACTAACTGTTAGCTCTTGTTAACTTTATCACTGCCTTATCTAAACCCTGTCTGAGATCGAATGAGACTTACTTGTTATGCTGCAATAGCGCAACACAGGTGACTAGGCCACGTGACTATTTCTGTGACGGACGCGCAGGGGCGTCTTGCTTGTCTGAATGCTTCCCCGTGACTGAGAGAGAGCCTGTCTCGTGTCCTCTCAAGGCGTTAGCTTAGGCCTACGTGACATATTTTCCGCCTAACTAATAACTCCTTGGGACACCCGTAACATTATTCAGACTGATAAACGATCTATAATAATTTCAAATTCAATAATAGTCCCTTAACTTCATGAATCGCATCATTATTAATTCGGCAAATTACATTTAATATCACTTAGGCCTAGTTCCACAACCTCTCGCTATGTGCAGGGAGCGCTCTCTTCCCTCCGACGACCTTGAAAGCTCAGTATCGCCAATGGCGCGGTGTTTGAAATTACTCTGAAATTTCTGATATATATATATAT